CTTTCTAGGAATAAACCATCCTAGCCATGAGAAATCAGATGAAACCTGAGACCAGAGACTCATTTTGCTTTTTTGTAAAATCCTTTCTCCAAAAGATTTAAATAAAGAAAAGGGAGGAAATGGGAAAGGAAAATATCTTGGGCCCCCAAATCACTAGCGAAAACTCAAGCTGGAAACAGCTTAGGGAAAATGTGCCTCCTATTCTATTCAAAGTTATCCCTCTGCTCACTAAGATAGATGCATATCTGATTGCCTTCTTTGGAAAGGCTAATCCAAAACTCAAACGAATTTAACCATTTGTGTCTCACCTATTTGTGACCTGGAAGTTCCCCCCACTGCCACTTTGAATCTTCCTGCCTTTGCTTCAGGTTGTCACCGCCTTTCCAGACAAAACCAAGTTCTCTCTTACATACAATGATTGATGTCTCATGTCTCCTAAAATGTATAAAACCAGGCTGTGCCCCAACTACTTTGGGCACATGTTGTCAGGACTTCCTGAGGCTGTCCTCAACCTTGGCAAAATAAACTTTCTAAATTAACTGAGACTTGTCTCAGATTTTCTGGGTTCATATGCTTGTACACTCAACACTTAGGGAGGCCAAGGCAAGAGGATCTCTAGCACCCAGGAGTTTGAGACCAACCTGGGCAACACAGAAAGACCCCATGTCTATAAAAATCAATTAAATATTAGCCAGGCATGGTGGTGCACACTTGTGGCCCTGGCTACTCATGAAGCTGAGGCAGGAGGATGTCTTGAGCACAGGAGGTCAAGGCTGCAGTGAGCTGTGTTCATACTGCTGCACTCCAGCCTGGGTGACAGAGTGAGACTCTGACAAACACACACACACACACACACACACACACACACACACGAAAAGCAGTAGTTAACCTGCGACAACACCAAAAACAGAGTTTCTTCTCCTTCCTCACTCTTTCTGATATCTTTTTCATGCTCCTTCTTGGTCAAATCCAAAAAAAAAAAAAAAAAAAAAGAAACCTGATGGCAAAAGAGGCCAGAACCTATTAGTGAGTTCCACATATGTCAACCTCCCTGAGAAAAGGCAGAGATGAAACTGTCATGAAAAATTATGAGAGTGGGAGGGAGCGGAGTAGGTGAGGCAAATGGAAGACACACAGCATAGTGGATTCCCTTTGCAAGCTTAAGGCCTGCTAGTTGGAATTTAAGGAAAAGAAAATAAGAATTTTAATAGAGCTATCCTGTGAGAAACTGAGCTAACGTACAAGATTTGACTGCTGTCAAACTGACTGACTCAAATCAGAGATCTTAACCAGTATCAAGATTTCCTAATAATTGCAATGATCTGCAGAGAAATGAGGGAAATGGGGCTAGAGGGGAAGTGAAAAAGTTAAGAGGTTTCTGGAGGACTCTAGGAGAGAGATGATGGCAAATCCTTTTACTTGTCAGGATAGAATAGACTATGATGTGATAACAGACAAAGCTAAGCTCTCAGTTGGTTTACAAAACAAAGCTTTATTTCTTGCCCATGAAATGCCCACTATATATCTGGAGGGCTGTCTAGCGCAGCTGCACTCCATGTGGTTTAGGGCTTGCAATGGTTCATCTTCTGAGTCAACGTAACTAGGCTCAGGGGTGCCCAGATAGCTGGTAAAAGATAATTTCTGGTTCTATCAAGAGGCTCAGACAAACCAGAGACAGGCTCGGACACCAAGAATGGACACTCCATTTAGCAGCATTACCTACCTGTTCTACTAGAAAAAAATAAAAAAAGAGTGGACACCCCAGCTGTAGAAAATAAAAGTAAATAGAAGTTCCCCTTCAAAGCTATCTTCTTAGCTTATTAAAAATGAAAAATACCTTCTTCAAAGGTTGATTTACTCTAAAGCCTTTTGTTAATAATCCTAAGTAGCTGTTAGTTATAATAAAGAAGTAGGTATATTCTGTGTTCCTAGTTCTTATACTCTAGCCCAGATATTTGCCCTGACATGTCTGGACAAGCCCAGGCAGGCTTCATCCCATAGTTAATTTCTTTTCCTTATTTGGAAATGTTATTGCTTCTTTAAGTCTTTCATAAGTGACTTCCTCTTTTCCTCTGTTCTCTCTTGCTGTTACCTTTTAAGAAAAGTTCTGAGTTATTAGCCAATCTGTATAGTTTAGATTGTGAGGCCCAGCTCCAGCCAATGGAGGCAGGGTACAGAGGTAAGGGCCAGTCTGTAAGGGATAAATACGTCTACTTTTCCTTTGTTCTTTGTACTTTTGTGGCAGACTGCTGGCGAGTGTACCCTTTCTGCAGAAAGTAAAGTTGCCTTGCTGAGAGAAAATTTATATTCAAGTACTACTTCTTCTGTGACACTGAAAACTTACGTATACCACCAATTGTGTCTTCCCACATTGCACATGGCCCAGGATAGAAGGTGAGGTCTCTATGTGAGTTCTGTCAGTTTCCTCACATAGCAGAAACTTTTAAATTGTGAAACGTTTCTCTGTTAGACCCAGTGAGTTCCACAGCCTTTGAGCCATTCTCCAGGGAGTCTCGCCTCCTGAATCTTGGGTTCCATTAACGTAAAGCAGGACCTCTGCCAGAGATCAGCCTGCTAGGGACACTCCATGGATGTGTCTCTTCCTCTAAGCAAATATCATTAGTCTGTTTACCCAAAGGCTCAGCAGAGACACAGGTTAAACCAGTTTATCTACCTTGGTTTTCCCCAGGTCAATCTCCAGTGCCTCCAGGGAAGAGAAGGAAAGGATTAGAGGCAGTTGCTTTACTCCGTCCTCCCATAAACACATTTCTAACATTAAAAGAAGAGGGGTGTGTGTGTGTGTATGTGTTTGTGTGTGTGTGTGTGTGAGAGAGAGAGAATCACTGATTATTAGGAAGAGAAAGAGAAAAACATGAAGGCAGGAAGACTACTCACTGGCTCTTCCATGTATAGGATTGGCATGTGGAAAGCAGCAATACCTCTTTTGAAACCACCTTTGAAAATTATCACTGAGGCAATTATGACATGAAAGAAATCAGACCTAACCTACTCCATCTTGCATCTAACCTTTAAGCTGTCCTTGTTCATTCCTGGGTGTAGGCTGAACTAACTTTTGGGAAGGAATTCAGTTCATGGTGCCTCTGAAACAAAATTGCTAAGAGCCCTTTCCTGAAAGGACCTGCTTCTTGCCTGGGACCAGTCTGCCTTTGTAGGACTAACAAATTAGCTACAGATTAGAAATTACAGTTTAGGGGTCATGCAGCCTGTGGCTCCAAGAATCTGAACTTCCTCTAATGACTCCTGGGGATACCATCCCTATTGTAAAACCTAAGATCAGTACTTGAGACATTTTTCAGACCCTACACTGGATGGATTAGCTGGCACCCCCACCACAGACAGGTAATCTGGCTCAACCAGTTCTGCCATCCCACCCAGGAACAGAAGGCAAGAAAAACTCACTTTGACTCCCTATGATTCCATCTCCAACCTGACCATCAGCACTCACCACTTCCCAAGCCCCTATCCACCAAATTATCTCTTAAAAAGTCTGATCCCTGAATGCTTGGGGAGACTGATTTGAGTAATAAAACTGGTCTCCCTGCTGGTGTGGTAATTCCAGCACTTTAGGAGGCCGAGGTGGTTGGATCATGAGGTAAGGAGATCAAGACCATCCTGACCAAAAATGGTGAAACCCCCTCTCTACCAAAAAAAACAAAAATTAGCTGGGCATGGTGGTGTATGCCTGTAATGCCAGCTACTCGGGAGGCTGATGCAGAAGAATCACTTGAACCAGGAAATTGAAGGTTGCAATGAGCTAAGATCATGCCACTGCACTCCAGTCTGGGAGACAGAGACTTCCTCTAAAAAAAAAAAAAAATGAAAAACCTGGGTCTGCCACACAGTCAACTCTGTGTGAATTATTCTTTCCCCACTAGAATTCTCCTGTCTTGACAAATCAGTTCTATTTAGGCAGAAGGCAAGGCGAATCCCCTGGTCAGTTACATTAACCTGAACCATCTTCAAATTTTGTCAGGCAAGCATCAAGCAAGGTGAAACTCAGGTTAGTTTCCTTTCAGGGGGGGTCAAAGGCATAACCTTGAGTCTCTGCCTGACACAAACACACACACATCCCCTTTGTCCAGCACCCTTAGACTGGGCACCTTCCAGGAACAATCAACACAGTGCTTCTCACATCAGTCTCAGGCCACCAGTGCCTCTTCCATGTAGATGAGGCATGGAGCACTTGCATTTCCTTTTCCCCAGGTTGAAGGAGATGATGTGGCAAACCCTCTAAAATCCAGGATTGTAGGCAGCATTGGGGAAGCTGAGGGAGTGGCACAGCTGAGACTGGGTGTAAATCATTCACCTGCTAAAACTGTAAGCACAATTTTGTACAGGTGTGTATTTTTCTCGGATAGCATTCAGAATACATATCAGATTCTCAAAAGGATTGAGGGCATATAAAACTGTAGCCAGTAAAACTACGTGGTGTTTTGGGGGGTGGTTTGGTTGATTCTGGAGACACGGTCTCGGTCTGTCACCCAAGCTGGGCTCAGTGGAGCAATCGTAGCTCACTGCAGCCTTGAACTCCTGGATTTAAATGATCCTCCCGCCTCCACTTCTTGAGTAGCTGAGATTACAGGCACATGCCACCTGATTTTGATTATCTTTTGTAGAGACAGGGGTCTTGCTATGTTGCTAAGCCTGGTCTCAAACTCCTGGCCTCAAGCAATCCTCTAGCCTCTGCCTCCCAAAGCACTGCGATTATAGGCATGAACCACCGTACCGGGCCCCTATGTGGTATTTTTAACAAGTGTGGATCCAGGGACAAGTAAGCTGAGTCCCACTGCCAGGGTCTGGTCCTGGTGCTTATTGTTTGACCCTGGTCCATCCTGCTCACCCAGGATCTTCAGAGCCCAATGGTAAGCCTGAGAGTGAACACGGTCTTATATTCCAAATGACTTCAGAGACACTGTCAAACATTCTGAATAGAAAACCCTTATTGTAAAAGGAAATTAAATGTGAAGAGTAGAACTTACCCTTTCGTTTTGTTAGAGAAAGACTCAAGGCCATATTGTAGATTTTTGCATTTCTCCGTCAGTTGGAGCGACTTCTCATTCAGATATGTGCTGTTTCATGAAAGAGATTTTTAAAAAGATTGATTTAAAATGAGAGCTTATAAGATATTGTTAACAAAAATCAGATTTAATTGATAAACTGTGTCCAAATGAAGTCTGATTTTTACTCCATTATTGGATTTTTCCATGGAAAAGGAAATTAATATTTTCACCTCTGATGGGTCTAAATGAAAAAAAATAAAAACTTATGCTCTAAAGTCAAACATAAAAGAACTCTATTTTGAGGACTTTATACTGGCAGGTTTTCACACTCTGAGGTTAGTTGTTACAATCAACAAGTTATTCAATAGTTATAATCACTGTGTGTTTATTTTTAAAAGATGTTTTATTTGGTAGAAAACATGCAGACATGGACAGTCACTAATCCTTTCCATAATAAACACAAATCTGGCCTTTGATTATTATAATAGCTGCAATAAAAGGGCCTGCTGCTATTTGTTTTGTAAACTTTGAAAACTGGAGGTGGAACCAAAAAAAATATCCAAAGTCAGATTAAGGACATGGGTTACAAAGTTCACCTGCCTATAAGCCTCATGGACATAAGCAGGTTATTTAACCTGCTCCAGGCGTAGACTCCCACATCTCTAAATCAAGGATAACTGTGCTTACCTCATAGTATTATTGTTACTGTGCCAAGTAACAATGTAACGCACTTGTAACGCGTCACACATACTAAGTGCTCAAAAAAATTAACTCTCTTTCCAAGACTTAAAAATACATATATGAGGCTGGGCATGACTCACGCCTGTAATCCCAGCACTTTGGGAGGCCGAGGCAGGCGGATCACAAGGCCAGGAGTTTGAGACCAGCCTGGCCAACACGGTGAAACCACATCTCTACTAAAATACAAAAGTTAGGCATGCTAGCGGATGCCTGTAATCCCAGCTACTTTGGGAGGCTGAGGCAGGAGGATCGCTTAAACCTGGGAGGCGGAGGCTGCAGTGAGCCAAGACCACGCCATTGCACTCCAGTCTGGGTCCTAGAGTGAGACTCTGCCTCGAAATAAAAAACAACAACAACAACGTATATATTTATATGCAACTCTAACTTGCTGTTAATGCATTTATTTAATGAAGATATTTATTGGCAGCCTAATATGGGTTGGGCCATATACAGGTTATTTAGGACAGAGAGGAGGAGAAAATAGACATGGTCTCATTCCCTAGTGGAGTTTGCAGTCTGATTAAGGAGAAAGATGAAAATAAGCACACAAAGGAAGATGGAATTATGAACTGTGATTGGTTATGGCTGAACCATAGTACATGGCTTGGAAGAGGAAGTGTCTACTCACACTGAGGGGTCAAAGGAGGCCTCCAACGAAGTGTCATTTAGGTGGAGACACCCAAGGAGGATCCAAACAAAGTGGGTAGAGCATTTGAGGCAGAGAAAAAAGTGTGTGCGGGCCAGGCACACTGGCTCACACCTCTAGTCCAGCACTTCGGGAAGCTGAGGCAGGTGAATCACTTGAGCCCAGGAGTCCAAGACTGCAGTGAGCCATGATCGGGCCACTGGACTCCAGCCTGGGTGACAGAGTAAGACCCTGTCTCAAAAAAAAAAGTGCAATGGTTCTAAAATGGGGAGCAGCCTCGAATATCTGAGGAACTGAAGAGATAAAAGGATTCAAGGCTGAAGAGACATGGGGTGACTGCAGAGAAATAAGGGGAAATGGGACAAGAGAGGAAATGAAAAAGTTAAGAGGTTTTTGCCAGACTCTAGGAGAGAGATGATGGCAACTCCTTTCACTTGTCAGGATAGAATAGACTATGACATGATAACAAACAAGCCAAGCTCTCAGTTGCTTTACAAAACAAAGGTTTTTTTCTTGCCCATGAAACTGCCACTGTATGTCTGGAGGGCCATCTAGGGCAGGTGCGTTCCATGTAGATTAGAGCTTGTGATGGTTCATTTACTGTGTCAACTTGATTGGGCTAGGGGTGCCCAGATAACTAGTAAAACATGATTTCTGGGTGTGTCTGTGAAGGTGTTTCTGGAATAGATGAGCATTTGAATCAGCAGATTGAGTAAAGACTGCCCTCACCAACGGGGGAGGGTAGCAACGAATCTGCTGAGCACTTGGATAGAACAAAAAAGCAGAGGAAGGGTGAGTTCGCTCTGTCTTCTTGAGCTGGGACATCATCTCCTGCCCTTGGACATTGGTGATCCTGGTTCTAGGGCCTTCATATTCAGACTGGGACTCACACTGTTGGCCCCCTGGTTTCCATCAAAGTCTCCTCCACCTTTGGGCTTAGACTGAACTACACCACAGGCTTTCCTGGGGCTCCAGCTTGAAGGCGGCAGGTTATGAGGACTTCTTAGCCTCCCCTAATTATGGGAGTGAATTCCTCGTAATCAATCTCTTACTATCTACTCTATTGGTTCTGTTTTCCTAGAGAACTCTGACTAACATAGGGATCCAAATTGCTTCAGTCTTGTGGCACCTTCATTTCAATAACCTGCTTCCATAATTGCTGTGGCAGGAGAAGAACCTGCTGGAAGTTCTTGCTCTGTGTACAAATGTTTGAGTGAGAAATACAATGCGTCATTAGCCAGAAATGGTCACCTGCCCCACCTAATTGCAATGTGGGAGTCAGAAATGAGCCACCTTCCTGTGTCTCCAGAGAGGAGATCAGACACAGGCGTAACTAGCCTAGACCTAGCCACACACTGCGTCCATTGGCAGGAAGAGAAATGGACAGATTTGAGATCTATTCTTTTTTTTTTTTTGAAAGACAGGGTTTCACCATGTTGGTCAGGCTGGTCTTGAACTCCCGAGCTCAGGTGATCCGCCCGCCTTGGCCTCCAAAGTGCTTGGATCACAGGCGTGAGCCACCAGGCCTATTCTAAAGGCAAGACTGACAGGACTTCATAGGATATTGGATGCCGGAAGTGGATAGGAAGGCATAAAGGTAAAAATATAAACAAGGCAGATTCATAATTCTCCAATATTTCTCAGAAATGCTTTCTGAAAACACTGCCTGCACAGTACACATGGGCTCACAAAAGTCCCTCTTAATCCTGATGATTTCTCTCCCCCGCAACTTCCTTCCCCCCTCCTTCTCGTACAGTCTCCACACATCGCCCTCTGCTTTCTGCATGTATTATCATCCTGTCCAAGGATTTGTTTATTTCCGGTTTGCCATGTATTTTATGCAGGCAGGACCGTTAATGAAGTGAATTACCAAGCCAGCGATGCTTTGGATTATGGTGCTGCAATACTGCCTTGTGAAACTGTGACTGGTAGGCACCAATAGGATTGTGTGTCCTATGTCTCTCCTTAGAGTGTATTTTATTTTATTTTGTCTTATTTTATTTTATTTTTTTGAGATGGAGTCTTGCTCTGTCGCCCAGGCTGGAGTGCAGTGACACACTTTCAGCTCACTGCAACCTCCTCCTCCCGGTTCAAGCGATTCTTCTGTCTCAGCCTCCCATTATTTTTTTAAGATGGAGTTTGGCTCTTGTTGCCCAGGCTGGAGTGCAATGGTGTGATCTTGGCTCACCGCAACCTCCGCCTCCTGGATTCAAGTGATTCTCCTGCCTCAGCCTCCCGAGAGCTAGGATTTCAGGCATGCATCACCAAGCCTAGCTAATTTTGTATTTTTAGTAGAGACAGGGTTTCTCCATATTGGTCAGGCTGGTCTCCAACTCCCGACCTCATGTGATCTGCCCACCTCAGCCTCCCAAAGTGCTGGGATTACAGGCGTAAGCCACCACACCCAGAAAATCAGAGAGTATCTTTTTAAATAAAAACTCAGAACAGGTTTAGTTTGGCAAATTAAAATCACAAAGGATACATGGAAACAAATGAGAGGATCCAGCGTAGAATTGGAGGTGACAGAATAAGGTCCTGGGGACAAAGTGGGTCTTGGGAGTCATTAGGGCCAGTCTCTGAATATGGGCTCCACTCTCTGACCTTACCTTTTGAGCTTTGGGATTGCCTTTAAAAAAAAAAATCCTTACCCAATAAAGAAATTTTAGGAATTGAATGGGATGTGTATAAAAACATCTGACAAGCCAAAGTCAGTAAATAAATGTGTTCTTATTCTCTCAAAGTCATTGCATTATTTCCTCCAATCAGTCATTATTGCCATAGAGGTAGGAAGCATCTCACATGAGTACGAAGTTATCACCAGTAATGAAAGGTACAGACAAGGAAGCCCTTTTAGTTATCTTTGCCTCTGTACATTTCCTGCCCTCTCCTTTTCATTCCAAGAGTCTTCAGAGTTTTATTCCTTTTTCATCTAATGCCATTCAAACTTGCTCTGGAAAGAGACCCTCTCAATTCTGGGATAAGAACTACCTGTGAGCAGATCCCATCTGAGAGGTTGGTGCCTACCACACATGAAGACATTGGGTTAAGTCCTCTTTAACTGCTGATTTGGGGACATCTCTGACAAGCCAGAGGGGACAGAGAGAAACTGATCAAGGTGAAAGTAGGAATTGCAAAGACTCTGAACCAGAAACAACATGGTGAGACAAAAGATGGCTGCAAGACAAACGTGGGCTGATCTGTAAGCCTAGGAAGTGTTACTGGGTGATATGGTTTGGCTGTGTCCCCACCCAAATCTCATCTTGAATTGTAGCTCCCATAATTCCCACGTGTTATGGGAGAAACTCTGTTAGAAATATTTGAATCACGGAGGCAGTTTCCCCCATACTATCTCATGGTACAGAATAAGTCTGATAGTTTTATAAGCGAAAACCCCATTCACTCTCACTCTTTTGTCTACTGCTTTATAAGATGTGCCTTTTGCCTTCTGCCATGATTGTAAGGCCTGCCCAACCTTGTGGAACTGTGAGTCCATTAAATGCCTATTTCTTTGTAAGTTACCCAGTCTTGGATATATCTTTATCAGCAGCATGAAAATGGACTAATACACTGGGGACTATATCACATCCTGCTACAGGAGAGCTTGTTTCCAGGTAGAAGTCCCATATAAATGGAGAGAGAGACCCACCTAAAACTAATCAACTTAGTCGTCTGAGCAGTTGAG